ACTTATTGAATGAAATGCGGCAAATACAATTGCGCTGGACTCTAATATGTATCAATATACATACATACATAATATAATATAATTTTAAACAACCAATAGTTGCGTTTTTTTACTCATTTCCAGTAAAATCCAGTAAAAGTTTTTACGAATTTTCATGTTTTGGCGTTTTCGTACGCAAAAACTTGCAAAGTAGGGGAAATTGAGAGAGCGAAATATGACAGCTGAAGTTGCAAGTTTTTACTGGATTTTACTGGATAAATTTTTACTTGTAAGAATTTGCCAGTACGAAAAACAGCTGATCGCATGTTGCTGGATGAAATTTAAACTAATAAGGAAACTGTTTGTGGCTTTTTATTGTAGAATTTCACAAAATAAACCTATTTAAATACAAAATATATTGTTTTATAAGGAATTTGCTGCGAATAAACAACCAATTTATCAGCTGTTCATGAAACTTGCAAATTATTACTGGAAAAGCGTTCGCGTACTTTTTTGCAAATTTTTTCTATGAGAGCGAATTCTTAGAAATAAAGTTACTGGAGAGTTACTGGCAAGTTACTGGATAATTTGTAAAAAAACACAACTAATGCATGTACAATATCACAGAATAACAGTGAATAAGTGATTGATTCCAAAAGAACCGAAACTCGATTCCAAAAGTACCGAAACTCGATTCCAAAAGAACAGAAATACGGATCGGGAAGAACCGAAACTCGATTCTAAAAGAACCCATAAACGGTTACGAAAGATCCGAAACTCGATTCCAAACGAAGCTAAAAATAGTTCCGAAAGAACCGGAAAAACCGATACCCGACCAAAAAGAACCGAAAAACAGTACCAGAAGGACCGGAAAATAATCGCAGAACAAATGAAAAAATAAGCATATTTTTACTGAGAAACCATTCCATTCTCACCTTTGTCGCTTTCAAATAGCTTCCAACTACGCTTTGAATGCGTCAAAAATACAGCAAGAGCATCGAAAAACTCATGTTTTTAAATGAAATACTAATGTGGAAAACACGTACTTAAATTTAATTTCATGTAATTTATTTTAAAATTTTTTTTAAATACAAATATTATTTAAGGAATGAAGGCTTATTGTTCCATATTTTGAATGCATTAATTGTTATACCACCTAGGTGATCGAGTCGAGAGCAACACATTTCGTCCATCTCGCAAAAACGACAGACACTCGTCTCTGAAAGAATCATTTTACTGAGGTGATAACGCAGGGAACAATGTCCCGTGAAATACGCACTGAGAGTTCGAAGACTCTCTCTTCCTAGATTTATGAGCTTTTTGAAGCTTCTTGTGATGGAGGGATGAACCGTTTAGCTTGTCTTTGCCCTGGACATTCACTCCAGAGCCCCCAGCCCAGTAATACTGTGTTCTTGATTCCAAGAGCTTATAGGGTACTAAGGTAGTCGTAGTTTTGATGTTATTGTGTGGGACTTGAGCGCTAGCAAGGCCGCCTGACTGTCCGAGATAATGCAGATGTTTTTAGGAGCTGTGCTTCTGCCAATGCATTCTCTGCCATAGACCTCTATCGCATGAATCTCTGCTTGGAAAATGGTGGGATAGCTGCCAATTAGTATCGATATTTTAAAATTCTGCTCAAATTTACCAGCTGCAGTTTTTCCATCCTCAAGTTTTGATCCGTCAGTGTACCAAACTTTAACTCCGAAACAGATAGCTTGAAATTCGTAGAAATGACTAATTTTGGAACTACTACTTTTTTCTCCGGGTAAACGGAGAGTAGTTTTACGGATCTATTCTGTAGCAGTGACAAATTTTATACGGAAAAATATACAAAAAAGTTTAAATTTGTTAGTAATTTTTTTTTTTCACGGATACAGAATTGTGCTATTAGTCGGATTAGGGAAAATTATTTGGTATCACACAATCTTTGTGTAATGCGACGGGCTTGTTACATGCGGTTTGAGATCGTTTCGCCATGCAGCCTGTTACACAGATCACCAGATCACCTGCATAGCCTTGGTCGTCTAAAACCATGTCCACAGATAAGAAAGAAAGTTGCCCCTTGTAGCTGTAATAGATTCTTTCGTACCTCACAGCTCCCTACTGATCTGTCTTGTTTTTAGCATGGAAAGCACCTAGTTCGTGCTGATGGATCTTACTACCTTGCATATCTGGGCAAATTCCCGGTTCTCCTTGGAACTGGACTCGAAAGAATCGGTTCTTTAAATACTAGGAAACGCACATCACTAATATGCAAATACATGCATTCATATGTGCATATACAAATTTAAATAATTATGTATGTGTATATATTTGCAGAGTTTGTTTTCTTTTTACTTTCGCGAATTTTTATTGTTTTGTGTGATGTGCGCGAGTTATTGGAAATTTTCATGAATTCGTAAATATTCAATATGAAACATATACATATGTATGTACATATGTGTTTGAATACCTGCATATGCATATCAGCATATACATATATGAATAGGTATGTATGTACGTGTTTATTTACCCGGAAAATTACCCGGAAGCAAATTTATGTTGCCAAAAGCGAAGTGAGATTTTAGATTAGTTTGTTTGAAAATAGAAAATTTAACAATAGAATCAAACACAAACAATTATCCCGCTTCCATTTATGTACATAAGATATTTACCATACAATGTTCAGCTCAATATACATACATATTTTTGGCGACCAAAGCATCATCACCGACGATTCCTAGTCATGTTGTCTACCTACATTTTCGTAGAGAGGCTAATATTTATATCCTTAAAGAGTGGTTACTCAATGCCGTTAATCACTTAACGAGATGGCTGAGTCATTTGCGCTCATATTGTCTGGGTACTGGAGCAATACGAGGTCAGGGCCTAATCTCACCAGGCACGCATATCAGAGATATACTTGGTATCCCTCTTCAAACATGTGAACCAATTTGCAACTGGTCGTATTGTCTCACATCCTCATAGTCAACGGAGTTCTAACCGAGCACTATCGAATTGGATAACCCACGGTTAGTTTGGACGCACCCCGCAAAATTTGCATGAACGAAGATGAATAGGAAACTTCTTTGTGAGAATAAAATTTCTGACATCAGGGCAGTAGATAGTAGGGACTTATCTTCCACGCGATATCGGTAACCAGGCACTCTCGTACTAATTGGTTTCAAACCCTTAACTATGACAATTTCGCCGCTTAAGAGCAAGCAGACTACGACAACAGATAACTACTCAGCGAGCAACCTGTTCTCTACTGTACCTCTACTCTTGCTGAGATCAACTTGCGGCAAGAATTTGGCGAAAATCACGAGGATTATTGGATTGATTTTGGGTTCGTCGACTCTTCAACCTACTCATCTATAGCTGGTATATATTTATTTTTCACTTTTATACATCGCAGCAACTTTTCGCCTGATTCAGCTATTAGAGGTAACCAAATGAGCGCACGGGTCTCTTTGGGATGTCCTTGGTTGATATAAGATTGAGCTTTAAGCCTATGAATGCGTCGGTAATCTTTGCTTTACATCCTGCGAAGAAGTCCAAGGATGAAGACCCGGCATCCACTTAGGGATTCCGCCGAGTCGAACTAGTATGAGTGTGGACCTTCGGGTTTGTCGTAGTCCATTACGAGACTATATAGCCTTCCATCGAGTTCCATTTTCGCTGCATTGCCAGCGGCATTCTGCTTCTTTCTTCTATAATAGAGAACGGAATGTTGTTCTTTGTGGCTTCGCTCAAGTAGCGGCTGCAGCTGTTTGCGTTCAGTCCCACTTTCTTAATAATACCCAAATTGATGTCTGTTGCAGTAGGACAACTTTAGACGATGTGACCAGGAGATTTGCTTCCTTCTCTAAACTCAATTCAATCTAAACTTTTTCAAGGATACCGGCCAGAAAAGTGTATGTGCCTAACGTTCGTAAATTGCTTATCCAGTTGGATAGTCTTATTAACGCTGATGATGGAAAATTTAATAGCCTTTACTAATATAAAAAAATTAAAGATTGGGCAACCACATTCAGAGAGTGTACTTTTTACGGATGCCAAAAACCCAAATTTGGCAATATCTCAAAAATTTTTCTACTTTATTTTATTCTGATTTCGTATTCCGATTTAGCGCAAAATTATGCACAAAAATTCATACAAAATATTTCGGTTGGTCAACTACATCCAAAGAGAATGCAATCAAGTGATTGCACTTTTTCCAGATTTCAAAAA